TATAATGAAATATAGTTTTTATTATTTATAATATTTTAATAATTAGAATATTTTTTCTATCATATATTTTTTAATTTATATTAAATAAATACATTGTTATATATATATATAATATATATATATATTTATATATAATGAATATTTATTGATTAATTGTAATTGTTGTGTTTGTTTCTAAGGTACCTCTATAAATTGCGGGATCTTCATTTGGATGGAGAAAACTACACAGAGGCGGCGTATACACTCCTGCTGCACTCCAAACTGCTCAAGGTTAACAAACACACATTTAGTTTTGTATCTTTATGAGGACTTCTATACTTTTTTATTGAGCTAATTCATCCACTAAACTTAATCATCACAGAAACATTTTTGCATTTTTACATATTCATTAAAATATAATTTTGGTGTGTTTATTAATCTTTGTCTTCGTGGAGAATTAATTTTCTAGAAATTTAGTACAATATGCATCTCATTAATAGATAAACAGGGTTATTATGGATTGGAATCATGAATTGTAAACAGGAAGTGACATCAAGTTGTAGCTAATTTCAAGTTTGACTATTTTTGAGAGGACATTTGAACCTCACATTGTTGGTTAAACCTTACACACACACACCTCTGACACTGAAGGTCACTTCTAACATTCAGTAGAGATGTTCTGATTGGTTCACTGGAGACACACTTCTTCCCTGTGTGATTTACTGTGGTCCCTGATGGCCCTCGAGCAGATAAAGCCTCCAGGTCAGATTTATGACAGCAATGCAGTTCCTGCGGCGCGCCGGCAGATTTATAGAGCATTTTACGCTGCTGTGTGTTTCTGTCTTTCCCTCCCCCACACGGCACAGTCCATACATTTCTATGATATTTAATGTTCTGTTATTTCACACAGCCTCTCCTCCCATTAGAAACCACTTCAGTTCAGCCTCTCGCTTTATTTCCTGTCAAACAAAGTTCATTCATTCAGTCCCATTGATGACTGTGACAGTGATAATTTAGTATCACTGATGTAGTATTACAGTTTTTGTGAATATTTTGAATTAGATTTTTTTTTTATATTTCATGTTTTCATTTTCATTTTAGTTAAAGGTTTAGTCATTTTGTTGTGTGTTTTTGTATGTATAAAATGTATTTACAATTTAATTATATATTATATAATTATATAAAATATATTATATCATGTTATATTATTTCACTAATCTTTATTTTTCTTTTTTTTGCATGCACACAAACACACAATATATATTTGATATAATATTCTAATATATTATTGTTTTACTTAATCTATATTATTTTTTATATACTGTATATATTATTATTCTTTCTTAACTTTTACTTATATTATTATTATTATTTATTTTTTTTTTTGTATTTTTACATGTGTGTGTGATTTTTGTTAGTTTTTTGTTTTCTTTTTATTATGTCTGTATAGCTTTTTATAAATTGTATTATTAGGTTTAGATTTATTAATTTTAGTACTTACACTTTAAACAAAAATGAGAAATGTGGGCATGGCTTACGAGCTGCTTAAAAAAAGTTTTTATTATATTATATTATATTATATTATATTATATCAGTAATGAAAATAGGCTTTTTTGTGGCTATAGTTGGTTTTAGCAAACTATAATGCTGCTTTGACATCACTTCCTGTTTACATTTCATGATTTCAATCCATGTTAACCCTTTTTATCTAATAATGAGATGTGTATTGCACTACAATGTCTTAAATATGAATTTCTAAATAATCATTTCATTGAGCATCACTTGGCAGTCAATAACACCCTAGTTACTGGCGGCAAGTTTTTCATGGCCAAGAACCAGCTATATTGTCTTAAGGGAATGTAATACTCTTGTTTAGACTGTTATATAAAATCACAGTAATGTTGTGATGTGTTTGCAGTGGTCAGAGGAGCAGTGCATCCTTCAGCTGGACTATCAGACGCCTCATTCCCAGCGGCAGCTCAAAGAATCGCTCTACGACACCATCATCAGCTACTTTGATATGGGCAAGGTCAGCTCAGCTTCACATGGACTTCCTGTTTAATATTCAGTAGACGTGACTGGATGTTGAAGACTGACCTCATGAATGTTTAACCGTGTGTGTATATGTGTGTGAACATGGTTTACGTGTCAGATGTGGGAGGAGGCCATCACTCTGTGTAAGGAGTTAGCAGATCAGTTCGAGATGGAGGTCTTCGATTACGAGCTGCTCGGACAGAAACTGGTAACACAATAAACTTTCCTCATTTAAAAATATATTATATTATATTATATTATATTATATTAGTTTTCTTTTTTATTGGTATATTATATTATAATATTATAAATATACTAATATTATATTAATAAATAATCCTTATTTATTTACTTGTATTCTTTTTTTTTATTTGTGTATTTTTATTAGGTTTTTTATTTTTGCAGTTTTGCCAGTATATTATATTATATTTATTTGTTTGTATTATTATTTTTCTTTTTTATGTATGATATGTTTTATTTAGTTATCTTTTTCCTTTTTATTTATGTATATTTTAATTATTTTTTAATAATTAAAATATAAATTTTAATTTTTATTGGTATATTATATTATAAATATTATATTTATATTATATTAATCAATAATCTTTATTTATTTACTTTTATTCTTTTTTTTTATTTGTGTATTTTTATTAGGTTTTTATTTTTGCAGTTTTGCAAGCATATTATATTATATTTATTGTTTGTTTGTATTATTATTTTTCTTTTTTATGTATGATATGTTTTATTATTTAGTTATCTTTTCCTTTTTTCTTTTTACTTATGTATATTTTAATTATTTTTTAATAATTAGAACATACATTTTAATAAAAAAAATATATCATTTAAATTTTTTACACGTGAAAACATTATATTTATTATATTATATTATTATTTCACTAATCTTTTTTATAATTATTTTTTTATTAATGCATGTTATATTATATTATATTATATTATATCACTTTTATTTTGCTTACACACTCTCCATATTTTAAAAGTCTTCTTAAGTATTTGTTCTTTTAGCTTTTTAGCATTCTGTCCCTTCGTTTATTTCATCAATAAATTCTTTTTGCAGAATCAGCAGGCCAAGTTTTATGAGAACATTATGAAGATCCTGCGGCCCAAGCCAGACTACTTTGCTGTGGGATATTATGGCTGCGGCTTCCCTCAGTTCCTCAGGGTCAGTGTGTGTTTAATATTCTCAGATAAGGCCGAAACTGTGCTAACAGGTATGTTATGTAATCTAGATAATGATGAGTTGAGATATTCAATATCAACAGAATAAGGTTTTCATTCACCGTGGGAAGGAGTACGAGCGCAGGGAAGATTTCCAGAGTCAGTTGATGAGTCAGTTTCCCAGCGCTGTGAGACTCAACATCACCACAATGCCTGGAGACGACATTAAAAACTCCAACATGCAGTGTATCCTTCACTTTGACTGTGGGGCCATTTACAGCGTCGCTCTCATTGACATATTATGATTTTTTTTTTTATACAACATATTTATTAATTTGTAATTTACTTTTTTTACTTTACCTTTTTCATCTTTTATTTTTAGTTATATTATATTATATTGTAACATTATATTATTTCACTTTTATATTTAAACACATACTTTCATATATGTATATATAAATGGTCAGTCTGTTGTTCTTGACCGGATCTGGATCAGATATCCAGTGTTTTACAGTGCAGCCGGTTCTGGAGATCCCGCCGCGTCTGAAGAACAAACCAGTGCCTGATCAGATCATCAAGTCAGTCTGCAGGAAACCCAAAACACGCTCATCTGTGATACGTGTGAATCTGTAGCTGTGTGGCATGATCTGATGCTGTAAACTGGCTCTTCTCTTCTCTTGGTTCTTTCTGGTGATTCTGTAGTTTCTACAAGTCCAACTATGTCCAGCGGTTCCAGTACTCCAGACCTGTGAGGAGAGGGAAAGTGGATCCTGATAATGAGTTTGCTGTGAGTCAAAACACGACATTCATCTCTCATCGATCTCTACTGTTCATAAAGCAGTAAAGATGCCTTTTTACTGTCTGTGACCTCCAGAAGTACAGAAATACATTACACGTTTAATTGGAAAAGCCTTTTGTGATAAATGATCATTCTGACTCTTCATTTAATGTCAATACCAGCAGGTTTTAGAAAAAAAGTTAACTTGATAATTCTCACTTCATGCACAAAGGTTTCATTGGAATACATCACATTTACTCTGACAATTGAACAGTGCACAAGTCTGAAAACTTCAATACGTTCAAAGCTAAATAAAAAAAATAAACGTTGTCAGATCTCACTAGTAAAACAAGCTCAAAATAAGACTAAATAAATGACCCAGTTTTGTGGTTATGGACTAATCATATTCCTTTACAAAGCTAATTACAGTATTCCACATATACAAGTTGCTAAAAGTATTGAATAAATCTGTCTGGTGTTATTTTAGTTATTGTTGTATACATTAATATAATTGTTTATGTTTTCAGTTTTTCTATTAATCTTAGTTTTAGTAATTTAACATGCTTGTCATTTCTATTTCTTTTTATTTAGCTTTCATTTATTATTTTAGTTTTAATTTGAGTGATTATAGTACTTCAACTTCAACTTTATTTCAATAAAAAACAGTGTTAATGTTGTATTGTTATTGCATTTATGATTATTTTCCATTATCTTTCATTTTTACATTTTCAGTTTTCATACTAATTTTAGTTTTAGTAATTTTAAGTACATTTTTATGATTTTTTTTTAGTTTAGCTTTAATATTATTTAGCTTTAATTTCTCTGTTTTAGTTGTAGTCATTTTAGTACTTCATCTTTAACTTACTTTATTTATTTTGTTGCCAGTGCAATATTTCCATTATTTCATGATTATTCCATGAATTTTTTTTTATCTAAAATGTATATTTTATTTCATCTTTATTTAAATTAATGAAATGTATTTGTAATTGTTTAAGTGAATAACAGCACTGAATCTACATAAACACTCACACATCTATGTGGAAGGAAAACAGTTCTTCATTTATGCATCATTGGGGTTTTGAAGGAGCTCTAAAAGACAAAAAGGAGACAAAATCTGGAATGTTTAAATAATAACATTATGTAGTGTGCGGTTTGAACAGCAGGTGGAGATATTTGACCGTTTCTGTTAGTGATCAGTCACACTTTACTGTGTAGGCAAGCACCAGACAGCACAAAATATGTGACTGTATTCTAAAAATAAACCCAAAAAACAACTACAACTACCCAAAGTCACTAGAACACTGATCTCAAATCTCCACACTCTAAAAGACAAAAAGGAGACAAAATCTGGAATGTTTAAATAATAACATTATGTAGTGTGCGGTTTGAACAGCAGGTGGAGATATTTGACCGTTTCTGTTAGTGATCAGTCACACTTTACTGTGTAGGCAAGCACCAGACAGCACAAAATATGTGACTGTATTCTAAAAATAAACCCAAAATACAACTACCCAAAGTCACTAGAACACTGATCTCAAATCTCCACTAGAAATGAATGTTGTCTGGTCAGGTTGAAGAGTTTTTGGCCTTTACAAATACACTAAAACAATTACACGCACACAGACTCTTTACTGTCATGAGTTGACTGTCTTCTCACTCTTTTCTCTGTCCTTCAGTCCATGTGGATCGAGCGAACCACATTCATAACTGCTTACAAACTTCCAGGAATCCTTCGCTGGTTTGAGGCCACTAGCATGACCCATGTGAGTCTCTGTTCCTGTCAGTCACACTGAAATTCTTCAAAATACTAGTGTACTGCATCCTGTGCAGTGTATACTGGATAGGACTTTTTCATCAGTATGTAGTATATACATAACAGTAAACATAAAACAGTAGGATGCTACATTGTCACATGACCTCATGTATATGTATATAATTATGATAATGCATTGGTATTCCATTTTATCTCAGAAATAAATACAAATAATGCAATTTTGATGTATTAACCTTTTTCTGTGGCCAAATTCAGAATAACATACAATGATCATTCCTGCATTTTATACATTAATATCGGTACATTATTATAGAAATGTATATTTTTAAAGGGTTAGTTCACCCAAAGATGAAAATTATGTCATTAATTACTCACCCTCGTGTCGTTCGAAACCCGTAAGACCTTCGTTCATCTTCGAAACAGTCACACGGACTACTTTGTCGATCATCTTGGTACTTTTCTGGACCTTGAACGTGGTAGTTACCTTGCTGTCTATGGGAGGGTCAGAGAGCCCTCAGATTTCATCAAAAATATCTTAATTTGTGTTCCGAAGATGAACGAAGGTCTTACGGGTTTCGAACGACATGAGGGTGAGTAATTAATGACAGAATTTTCATTTTTGGGTGAACTAACCCTTTAAATATAATTTTATTGTTATAGTTTTATAGAAAAAGTTTATTTTATTTTGTTAATATGTATTTTCATATTTATATTTTAATGCTTTTATTAATATTTATCATTAATAAGTTGTTTCTTTGATTTCTAAGATAATGCTAAATTAAACAGTGTGAGCAGGTCATGTGACAGCGAGGATTATCTCAAATGATTATTTCTGAAGTTTATGCGTTAATATGGGTACTGTGCAGTCTGAGCACTTTAT